AATTTAGGAATTTAGGATTTCTTTTGCCGCGCGCTGCCTTGTTGCTCGCGCGCTTCTTTTTGCGGCTACAACGGAGCTCTGATTAGCTGGCGCCCTTAATCTTGCGCGTAACCGTAATTTTGGGCGGGGCGCCCTTCTAACTGTATCTTTCTTCTTGAGCTTCGTCTTTCCCGCCTTCTCTCTCCTTTGCTGTGTCTATCTGGCCCGCGGGCTGCATGATCGGATCGATGCGTGGAGAGTGGCTGCGTCCCCCACACCGCGATCTAACCATGCAGAACGTAGGCCCTCCCTCCCTTGATCTGCTTTCTAAGTCCTTGTAATTTTGTGTTCTTCGTGCATGCATGCACACTATAAATTTCGGCAGCGCGATTAGACAGCTCTCTTAACCAGTTGTTGGAAGCTCAGGGTAGCGCGATGAGTGAGGGTCGGCTCACGAGCGAAGTAAGAGGTGAGTTGAAGTGGGAGTCGGGCGACCCGAAGAGCTGGTGCCGAATGCGCGGGATTGACGCGTGGGGCTACGACGGACTGTAGCGCGCGGGCGAACCTGACGGGTGTAGGAGGACTAAGCGGGGTGACGACTTCGTGGGTTGGTGCGCGACGACGGACTGTCCACATCGGAGAGAGAGAGAGAGAGAGAGGAAGAGAGAGCTGAGGTTGATGGACGTGGATTTGCAATTTTCTTTGTCTTGTCTCCCCCTTCACTTTGTATATAAATTTTGATCTCGGCCCAAGGCGACTCGCCCATTTTCTTTTGTTTTCGGAATCTCTGCCTCGGCTTCCGCCCACACTTGTTTTGTGATTGATCTTGATCTTGGTTATTGTGTGTTTTGTCGAATGAATGGATGAATGATATGTTGTCGTTTTTCCTGTCTGGTCACTGTGTAACACTCCATACGATGTACGGGTGGTTTATCGTACGGTCGTACGTACGGCCGTATATACAGCCCAGAACGGGAAAAAAAAAAAAAAAACTTTTTTTCTTATCTCAAATTCGGGAATGAATTTCAATATCACCATGAGGCAAAAGTGTTTCAGTTTATTTTTCTGCATAACATTTTTTTTTTCAGATAAAAAAAAAAAAAATTGCTTTTTTTCCGTACGTACGGCCCGTACGACCACATGAGCCCGTACGTACGCACGTACGGCTCGTATTCGTACGGGGGTCTACATAGTCCGATCATCATCATTGCTTGCCATTTTGATACGCTGTTAGCATAATAAAAATTCTGATGTTGTTGTGATGTCTGATGTATAATGACACCTTGCATGTTCGGGAATGATTGCTTGTGGGATCACTGAGTGATTATATGATTGGGTAGTTGTCCATGTCACGTGGCGATTTTGCATGAGGAATTAGACTCTCACTTTTCCAGGAACAAGCGAACGCCTCGCGGGGTTACGTGTAAGCGCGATCTGATCTGCGCAGCCTACACGTATCCACGCGCGGCGATTCGTGACCATTGACGAACCTCACACCTCCGGTATCGGATAGACGAGAATTTTCCTTCTATCACGCACCTAAACGGATAGGAAATTCCGATATCATATCGGGAAATCCCTTTTGCCAGTTAGATGTGTACGGGAGGCTTCCATTACGCCGCAATGACAAGATGTCGAACTCAGGGGACTCAGGATATTTCGAACCTTGGGTAAGAGAATATCTTAGGCAGAGACACCCAGAATTTCCCTGCCTAACCGAGAACCGATTGTGCCCCAGAGAGTTTCGCTGTGCCGTAACCAGCGATCCGAGGTGCCCCGATTACCCAACTATGTATAACACGCAATACTTCATATCCCCCCGCTTTGTCATTGTCTCTACCAAATTTCATCCCTTCCGTCTCCTCCTCCCGTATCACCAACTCACGGTGGTACCGTGGAATTCCATCGCCCCGTATTGGCCTCGCACGCCGTGCAGAAACTGTAGACGGCGCAGCTACCACCGAACCCCTGGAGCTACGGAGCCTAACTACAACGCGCGGCGACAGATGCCACGTGTCTGCCCCCGAAGATCCGACTTCTAAGAACCACAACCCTCACACCACCGTCACCAAAACAGACGGATTGGACGGCCTTGGATGCACCGCGCATGCCATCTACCTTATGCTGCACGACAGACAGCAATCCGCCCCTTAGTCCTATTGTATTTATGCCCGTGAACCCTTGCCACGGGAGATCTCAGTTCCGACCTGGGACTCCAACCCCCACTTTCCCAAAAATCCTTGGCACACCCCTTTTCGCACTTCCAGGCCCACATCCCACTCCGATCAGGAAGTCACGCCGGGCGTGAGGTTGGGCGTCACAACGGGGATGTTGGCGCCCTTTTTTTTCGTCAGCCCGGTAGGCCTCCCTGCCGCCGCCACTGGACCACGCCCGAGGATGCACGGACATCCTAGCATGATGACGGACATCCACCCCCGCAGCCGCGTGTATGCATATGAAATTGGCCGCTGGAGACCTCCAAGGGTTTTCCTTGGGACCCATTGAATTAGGACGCGGTGTAACGATGACGCCGAAAACCGGAAAATTTTCCAAGGACTTCATCCTAATTCCTGAGGATTTTCCAAGGAGGGTCTAGCGAGGCCCTAAATCTACTGCCTTGAGATGGGCAAAGGTACTAAACTGATTCTCCGATAATCCAAGAGAGAAGAGAAAACTGAAACTGATTTCCCATGGACGGACTAGCCCCCAACCAGCAGAATAGAGTAACCCACTCCTGAAACAAAAAAGGTGAACTCGTCTTCAGTCACCCCAGTTGATGAAGATTAAAATTCAGGGGGGGGGAACCTGGAAAAATGGAGTATGCAATCCAGTTAAAAATGGAGTACGTAATTCCCTTTCAAAAAAAAACTTAAAAGAGAATGAAGAATGGTGCATTTAATACCGTTTCAAAAACAAAGAAAAACGGCGAAAAACGGTGTATTACATATCGTTACAAAAAAAATAAAAATGGTGTCTGTAATTGGGGTAATTGCAGAAATAGTGCATTTTTGAAGTTTCGCAGCCGAAATGTTGTACGGGTCCGAAAGATCTTTTTTTTGGCAAGGAAAGCGGGACCCCGCCTGCAAATATTTTTGCTGTGAAACTACGGGGACCTCTAAAGTGGCAACGAAAGATATAGGGTCTTGCTCCACTACTGTCACCTATACAGAATTTCGTATAGTGGCCGTATAGCTGTCAGTGATAAAGAAATAGTAGAAACGGTGGCGCCACTCCACTTCCTATCTGCTATAGAAGTCTCCAATTCCTGAGTTCATTACAAAATACCCGTACAGCACTACACCACATCAATTTGTCGGCCCAGACTCCAGGTGCTCCATACGATTTTGCTGTAGAACTCCAACCTCCTTCCATCCGAGTAACGACTTTTGCAGGCTGGGAACCATATGGGATCGTATGGTGAATTTGGAGTGCGCCATCTGACAACTATACCCTGATTTACCCTGATTTCTGAAGGTACATTTCGGATAGTAAGTGGAGCGGTGTCCCACTATCCGAAATCGTACAGCGGATAGTAGTGGAGCGAGACCCAAATTTTTGCAACGAAACTTGGGCCCCGCCAATATTTTTGCTGTGAAACTACCGCGACGTGCTATTTTTGGAACTTACCCTTTCGTTAACGAAAAGGTACAAAATTGCCCTCAGAGCCTGCTCCATTGTAACCTCTTTCCGACGGGAGAGACAGCCTACGAATGGATTCGTGAGTTTGTCAGACCACGTTGAGGAGTAGAAAACTCTACAGACGAGACCAAACGCGCGCGCGGGCGCGGAGAGAGAGAGAGAGGAGAGAGAGAGAGAGAGAGAGAGAGAGAGAGAGAGAGAGAGAGAGACGATATGCCTCTCGTCGGTATTGAATTTCGGGGTGAGTAAGGCTGGAAGTGCACGGATTATGACGGATATGCCTATGGCGAAACGATACTCAGATGGCCAGGTGATGGGATCTGAGCGCTCTCCTCTTCCGCTTTCCACTTTCAGCCTAGGGAGTGTTTCCACCTGAGCAGAGTACAAACAGACACCTAGGATGGTGAGGAGGCAGGCAAGAAAAGAGGAAGGCACTCAGCCCACGTGGGTCCATGCTACACACGTTTAACTAACAGATCATGAGTTCGAGTCATCGTAAGTTGAGATTGGTGCAGGTAATAAAGATCTTCCGATTTTCTTGGATTGACAAGAGAATACCGATTTCCCGTGCAGCACCAACTTCGCCACTCAGTCGGCGAAATAGAGTAATCCGCTTCAGAATCTTCCGTTTCTTCCTTGCCACACGCCTATACACAGATGAAACCAAAAATACACCCCCCCCCCCAAAAAAAAAAAAGGGTGAAGGATTTCTCTCCCGTCTCACCACCTGCCAAAGATTAACAGAAGGAAATAACAACAACAACAACAACAATAATAATAATAAAAAAGGGCGTGCATCATTCCGTTTGAAGTGGGACTCGTCTTGCCATTTGCACTGACACCCTGCCACTCTCATAGTCTTGCGTCGTCGGTCATCCGGACTCGGGAGAGGAATTGATCCGAAGTAAGCTGTTTCCTTTGCGCATCGCTCGCTCCCGGGGTCTCGCTCCACTCGAGACCAGGTTCATGTGACCCCTGTACCTCCGTCCCCCTGGGGTCCCACCCTCCGCATACATCCTTCCTCCCCGTGGTTGGTAAATTGATTGATTGATTGATTGGTTGATTGATTGATTGATTGATTGATTGATTGGCTGTATTCTCCCCCTTGTCTCGCCGGCCCACTCCCGATTCCACGCTGGATCTTCCCCATCTCACCTACTACGCCACACCGCAATCTGCCACTTGTTTCCACCTGGTTGCGCCCGCTTCCCCGCACGCTCTTCCGCGCTCCTCCTCCCCGTTGCTCGATATTTCCCCTCTTCCCGTCCGCTCCGTTTCTTTCCCCCCGATATTCCTCTCATGTTTTTCCGCCCGATTTTTTACCACCCGATTCCGGCTTCCCTCCACAACCTGCCGCGCGCGCAACGTTTTCCCCCGCGCACCTCCTGGCGCTGGCCCCCCCTCGATTGCCACCCCGCCTTTTTCTCGATCCGAGCCGATCGTGCCTCCCCCCGATCTCGTCTCCTCACCCCGCTTTCCTGTCCTCCACCCTGTGCGATTGCGCGCGCTTCCCTCCCCCGTCACAGGTGCGCTACAGCTCATCCCCTCCCTTTGTGTCGGCCCTGCACTCGGTCCCCGATCATGCCCTCCTAGCGACACACAACTCTTCCCTCTGCCCGCTTGCACCACCTTCTTTCCCGTTGCGCCTCCCCTCTCCCTTGATCCCCCGCTCCGGCGCGCCCCTTCCGTTTCCCCCTTCTCCCAATCCCCATCCCCGCCTTCCCTCCATCCTATTCTCCACGAGTCGAACTCGCTTCCCCACGCGCAATTCTACACCCCTCCACCATGTTCCCATTCCATACGACGTCCACCCCCGTTGCGCCCCTTTTTTTTCCATCGTACCGTCCCACTTCCCTCTCCCTCTTGCGATCGCCTACGTTCATCCCCTCCCTCCCTCCCCCCTCCCGAGCATAAATACGAATTATGAGGGCATGGCTTATCGATCCTTCGGCGTTTCAGCACCGCAGCTAGATGCGCCTCCTCCCCAATCTCCTGCTAACCCACCTCCACCATCTCCCCAATCTCCCCGTAGACACGCTTCGCATGCTCGACGAAGCAATCGACGAGAAAACTCTTCATGATGAACGTCATGATCGCCATCAGCGCTCATGGCGACGTTGCCTTTCGATTCTTTGAGGTCCGCTCTTCTCCTTCCATTGTGAAGCAGAATTGACCAAGTGTTCGACTGGTTCTCCCACCAACTGCAGATTTTTAACCAAGAACGGCAACGGCGAGCTTAACCTGCACTCTCTTCTCGTCATGTTGCCCATTGCCTTGTCATCTAATTAGTGGTGCGTATGATAGGACAACGGAGAATCACTCTCCCTGCTCTCCTTGACTTGGGAATCTCATAAACGTCCTCGTGCGTGACGGTGCGTCCTATCGGGGATCATCATCATCATCATCATCATCATCATCATCATCATCATGGACGCAGATCATCGTCGTCATCATCGTCGATGGCATCATCATAATCATCAATGATCTTGGTCATGATCCTTATTTCGCGTGTGTGATCCAGTGCGCTCACGATCGAGAAGACAATAAGGGGATTAATTAAGACCTTCCTGCACTAGGAGGAAAGGTATCCATTGCTCCCGCCCAGCAAGGATCACGGTATTGTCATTCGCTCACTCTACTGCTAACCCACCTCCTCCATCTCCCCGATCTCCCCCAAAGATCGCATCTTTTTCTACTTCCTCCCTCTTTTATCTGCTCCCCCTTCCTTCCTCCTCCATTCCCCATGATTGGTTCCATCATCGTTGTTTTTTTGTTTTTTTTTTAATTATGCGTATAGCATCATCGAGTATTCTGACGTGCGTGCTGCGCATTCTATTTCTTTGCTTTGGCTTTGTAATGCCATTCACCCTGTCTAGCGACACATTCAATCTAATAAAACGAGAGGATTAACTTCCGTTCATTCTTCCTCCAAAGCTTAATTGCGGTGCGCTCCTCGAAAAGTTCTACGAAACTTTTTCTTTTTTGACTCATAGTGTTTATTTTCTTTTTCAAACTTCAAATTCCTTTCAAAATTTATCAGATGTTTGGACTTCAAAAGCCTGACGTAATTGATAAAGCTGTCGCTCCAGAAACCAGTGGCGGTAAATGCGAAAAATGCGAGCGTATCCCGGGAAAAGGCATGACCAGATACATTTTTTCGCCATTTCACAAATTTGGGCAGGGGGTGGGTTTAGGACGAAGCCCTTTTTCTCTCAATGAGAATTCAAATCAAAATAATTTCGTTACGACAAACACGCTCAATTTCCTGTAGTCAAACTAAAATGAAAGCAATCAGTTGGCAGAGACGAAGAGATCTACTGAACCCGCTTTCGTCGATTTCCAACCATCGATTTATAATTCGGACTATCAGTGGAATGAAAAAAAAAAAGATCAAAGGAAGTAGGGAGGTTGCGCATCCGAAATCACTCGTTAAAAATGGGGGGTGGGAGTAACGAATCACTTTCACTCTGATCAATCAAGGCGAATCATTTCTTTTCTCGAATTCCATTGCAGCCCTCATTCGCAATGACACCGACCAGAAAGACAGCTTCGGTTGTAAATTGTAATTGAGGGTCGTATTTTGATGAATTCAGGAAAAGAAATGGTCAAATACACCGACAACTACAATCCCCGACGATCAGAAAGAGAGAGCAGCCTGCATTCGTACGTACATCTAGCCCGCGCAGAAAGGCAGCAGCTCGAATCCACCACGACTAGAGCTGCACGAGATTCACTCCACAGTTACCAGATCCTCAGCGACCAAAGAATTCAAATTCAAATCGACCATACGCTTGGCGGAGTCAAGCATAGACATTGGTCTTTTTTTTTCTTTTTTTTTTCCTTTTTTTTTCCTGTTTTTTCTTTTTCAAGCATAGACATTGGTCTACAGCTCAAATGAAAGAAACCCGACACAAGTTTTCACTCACCAATAGCACACAACACTCTGGTCGCAAGATCCGCAACATCATAATCCCAACCGTCGAAGAGAGAGAGAGAGAGAGAGAGAGAGAGAGAGAGAGAGAGAGAGAGAGAGAGAGAGAGAGAGAGAGAGAGAGAGAGAGAGAGGGGGGGGGGGGGNGAGAGAGGGGGGGGGGGGGGGGGGGGGGGGGGGGTAAAAGAAGCGGCGTGCGACTCAAGGAACTGACCTCTGGAATCGAAAAGCTTACCGAACACGAAACAACGATGCAACTGACCGTGAGCACACTCTCATCATCAGGGGTTTTAGGTCGTTCTCATACTACGACGTTCCTGGATGCATCTGACCGTGATTACGCCTACAGCTCAGTCCGAAAAGTTCTACGGCAGTGGTCGTTTACCCTTAGTCTAGACAGTGGCCGGAGACTTCTGGTAGGTTGGAATTGACGCATACTTTGAGTTTGAAATTCGAAAAACGATCACACGCATGTGCCTACGCCCAAATGCGCTTCACACCTGTCCGCCACGTCAGCCCAGCCTCTGCCTTTCCCCTTCTTCCGCTTGTTCTGACCCATTAGACATTCCATGCCGCCTTCTGATTGGTTCTTCTCTCCCATCACGTCAGCCCAGCCTCTATTTCTCTCTTATTCCGCCGGATTCCATCCTACACGGCAGTGACAGAGAGAACTTACATAGCAGCGGAGCGCAAGGCTGACTCTGCGTATTCGCAATTTGCTCTGCCATGTGGATGGTCTGGCTCGTTCTGTCATCCGGTGCGACGCCAGGAACAGGAATCGCTTCGTGGCGAGAGCAAGGAAGACTGGACGCAAGCGTCGAGTTTGAAAGAGATTCCCTTGGTTGGCCAAGCTGCCGTTTACTTGCGCATCTCGCTCACTGATTAGCGAAATGGCGCGCACATCTCGCTCACTGATGAGCGAAATGGCACGCGGACTGAGGGCATACTCACACGGGGACCTGTAATCCCAAACTCCTAAAAAAAAAGGGTAGAGGGCCGGTCACACAGATTTGCCAAAGTCCTAAATGTACAATTCGTGCGTCCATTTGTCAGAGGACTGTGTAGCCCGCGGGGCAAGGGAATTTGCGGTCACCTTCTGGAGGGGACCGCAAATGCGCTATTGATTTTGTAGCATTTTCTTTGAACATTGGTGAAAATTCATTTACAAACGTTCTTGCACAGTTTGTGGATCGTGCCGTGTGCCCATCGAAGTACCAAGTCTAAGGGGACGCTCACACTAGGTACCCAAATTCCCAAAAAAATGGGAAAATGGGAACGGCCGTTTTGAGGAAATGCGGCCCTGGCCAGTCACACTGTGTTCCCAACACGCTAAAGACAAGGCCGCTACATCGCTCTCTGCGAGGTGCTTGTGGAGGGTGCCCGTCACACTGTGGATACCTCAAATGGGAAATGCAATTATTCGTTTTTTATAATCTGTTTTTTCCTTTTTTTTTTTTGGGTCCAACAGGTGTCCATACGAACCTCTCTGCTGGTGCTCCGTGCGTCTGACCGCTCCGCGCGTGTGCCCGTTTCCCCAAATCTCCTTTTCGTCAATTGGTACGCCACTAATATCGTGGGTTTCCATTTTTTCTCCAATTTTGCATGGTAATTCGGAAAAAGATTAAGAATTTGCGGTAACCTCCAGAGGTTACCGCAAATTTCCTTGCCCCGCGGCTTCGCAGGCCGCTGACAAATGGTCACCCCTTTTGAGAATTTGGGCAGATGTTCACTATGTGTGACTGTCCGGGAACCCTTTTTTTGGGGGGAAATGGGGATTTGGTACCTAGTGTGAGCGTGCCGCCATTTCTGCAGATGGCCATGGCCTTGTCCCATCCGAAAAGGTATAGCAGTGCGACCCGAACCATGCCCAAAGCCTCCAATCGGCCCTTCCCAAATCCACATATTTTGCAGATTTGGGGTCGCGGTGTGAGTATGCCCTGAGATGCTGTGCTCTGGTTTGGGAATGACCTTTTTTGAATTGTAGCTTTTTTTCTTTAGGCCACTTGCTTTGGTCACAGCCTAAATGGCGGGCTGACTGGCCTAGTGCTGGGGAAACGATACGCCCAGCAGCTGTGGGGACTCTGAGGGCCGGTCCCCAGTCCAGGTAGCGCTATGTCCTTGGGAAGGAGAGACGGCTGCATCACCAGCTGCTCCTCGATTCTGAGGGCCAGGCCAGATCAGTTCAGGGCATACTCGCACTGGTAGGAAAATTCACAAAAAATGAAAATTCTGCGATAATACGGGGTCACACAGCCAGCGCAGGTACGCAAATGACGCAAATGGGTACGCAAATCCTCCAGCCTGCCTGGGGGTACGCAATTTGCGTCCACCTCAAGAGGAGAGCACAAATGCATTTCCTCCAGCCTGCCTGGCCGCGGGGGTACGCAATTTGGGTCCACCTCAAGAGGTGAGCACAAATGCATTTTTGCCTTCACGCGGAAGGCACAAGGGCAGAGCAATGGCCACTCATTGGCGAGGCCCTTGGGATGTAACGCCAAGGAGGGGTTATGCTTGCAGCAAAAGGACCCTGAACACTATGTAATCACAAGGCACAGAATTGGGATGTACCAAGACTACATCCTGACAGTATACATCAACTGCCAAGTGCCTGTGGGGAG